CTGCAAAAGAACACCACCCAAAGCAAAATCAGATGCATCAGTTTGTATCTCAAAAGCTTTACCTAAGTCTAGTAGAGCGAGAACAGGATCTCTTGACATAGCTTCTTTCAAAGCTTGAAAGGCTTGTTGGCACTCCTCTGCCCAAACATATGGCTTGCCCTTCTTTAATAACTCTGTCAATGGGGAAGCTAGTCTTGAGTAGCCTTCAACAAACTTGCGATAATAATTAGCCAACCCAAGGAATGACCGCAACTCTGAGACATTAGTGGGTGGCTGCCACTCTTAAATAGCATTGACCTTCTCTTGGTCCATTTTGATACATCCATGCTTAACAATGTGCCCTAGGAACTTAATCCTCTCTTGGGCAAAAGAACACTTCTCTAGCTTGACATCAAGCTTATGCTCTCTCAACTTGGTAAGGGCCTTCTGAAGATGCTCCACGTGGTCTTCTAAAGCGGAGCTATAGATTACAATGTCATCCAAATATACTACCACGAATTGATCCAAATACTCTTGAAAAACTTTGTTCATCATGGTGCAAAATGTTGCTGGGGCATTGGTTAAGCCAAATGGCATGACAAGAAACTCATAAGAGCCATAACGAATAACACAAGTAGTTTTAGGCTCGTCTCCCTCGGCAATTCTTACTTGATAGTACCCCAATCGAAAATCTAGCTTTGTGAAATACTCGCTTTGCTCAATTGATCAAATGAATCTGCAATGAGAGGAAGGGGATACTTGTTCTTGATGGTCAGCTTGTTGAGTGCCCGATAATCCACACATAAGCGAAGACTACCATCATGCTTCTTTTGAAATAAGATAGGTACACCAAATAGGGCCTTAGATGGCCTGATGAAGCCCGCTTCCAATAACTCTGTAAGCTACTTCCTTAACTCATTCAACTTAGGAATAGCCATTCTATATGGTGCGCAAACTGGTGGCTTTGCCCCTGGCACCAACTCGATAGCATGATCCACACCTCGGCGTGAAGGCAACTCCTTAGGCAACTGTTTAGGCATAACATCTGCAAATTGCCTTAAGACCTTCTTGATTGCGGCAGGGACATATGTGATAACACTGTTCCGTATTATGCTAATTGGTCCTTATTATGAATGTGATTATGTGTTTGATACGATTTTGTGTGCCATTTATGTGAAAATATGTGGTTTTGAATTTCTATCTGTTCACCGTAGGAATATATGTTTGATTATCTGCTTTGAAAATTAAATTGAAGGCCCTATCGGCCACAGAAACCGAAATTGATTGTGCCATGGTGATTGGCGTGATTTTTAGAGCCTACGGTGAAATTTAATTGAAAATTTATTCGGATCAAAATAACAAAATTCAGAACGATTAACTAAGTGCTCAATTATTTAATATTAAAGAATTGTGATTAGAGAGCCTATAAATGGGCCCCATTACACTTACCTTCACTTCTTCTTGAACTCAAAATCTGAATGGCACCCTAGTGAGAGTGAGGGGCCGGCTCTAGAAATAGAAAGAGAAAGGAGGAGAATTGTGCAATTTTGGCTCAAGGCTTGGAAATTGGAAGTTAAACTCCAAGAACTTGAGTGTTTGAAGCTTCTAGGTGAGTAATCAACCCCTAATTCATGAGTTGAACTTGTGATTTTGTGAATTCTAGTGGTTTGGTAGCTCATGGCAAAGATTTAGTTGAAAATGAAGCTAGAATGTACATGCATGCATAGAATTATCATAAAGAAGCAAGGATTGTATAATCTATCATGTAGTTTGTTAATCATGAAAAATTGAGTTGTAGGATCATACATGCAAGCATGATTTGGATGAATTTCATGTGTTTAAGCATCTCTTGACCCATTTGAAATGGAATTGGAGCTGAAAGATTGCATGCATGTTTGATTATTAAAGTTATGGAGCTCATGTGAGGTTTGAAAGCATGAGCCATGATTATACAAAAATGTTGATTGATTTTGAAGAATTGAACCATGATTTTGAGCAATTGAACTCATATTGTTTGTGTACTCATAATATATAATGTATTTGCATGTTTGGGAACCAAAAATTATGAGTTTAAACCTTTGGAAGTCAAGTTTGAACTTGAAGAACAATTTTGGATTTTCCAGAATTTATGATGTCCGCTCAAGCGGGGAAAGCGCCGCTCAAGCGGGAAATTCGGGCTCCTAGTATTTTTTTTTTGCAGACATGGATGTCCGCTCGAGTGGGGAAGTTCACGCTCAAGCGGGGAGCTATGTAGACTGACCTTCAACTCGAGCGCCCAAGTTCGCGCTCGAGTGTAAAAATGATGTAACCAGTACTTTTGCAGACCTAATGGGTCCGCTCGAGCAGGGAAGTCCACGCTCGAGCGGGGACCCCTGTTTTTGAAATTTTATAAATGCGTTCTGTGATTCGTTTTCCGTTCTCTTTCACTTCTAAGTACTCTTAGGCGTGCATTAAGCATTGTAAATGAATTAAAAGGATAAGAATGAAGCCTAAAGAGGAATATGTGAATTAAGAACGGATTGAATTGTTTGTGACCCATTGTGTTCATCTAATATGTAGGGTCGAACTCCAGGGCAAATCAACCAGCCGATCACTGTGAGTAATATCTTGATAAAGATATTTTGAAATATGTTATTTGTCCAATTACTTATTCCTTTATAAGCTTTATGAGTCTGTCGATTTGAATTATGGACAAATATTTGCTATAAATGAATGGGTCAAAGGCCAGTTTGACACAAATGATAGAATGAATGGGCCGAAGGCCAGTTTGACATGAATGACCGAATGAATGGGCCAAAGGCCAGTTTGACATGAATGATAGAATGAATGGGCCAATCGCCAGTTTGACATGAATGAAAGAATGGATGAGCCAAAGGCCAGTTTGACATGAATGATAGAATGAATGGGCCAATGGCCAGTTTGACATGAATGAAAGAATGGATGAGCCAAAGGCCAGTTTGACATGAATGACAGAATGAATGGGCCAAAGGCCAGTTTGACATGAATGAAAGAATGGATGGGCCAAAGGCCAGTTTGACATGAATAGAAGAATGGATGGGCCAAAGGCCAATTTGATCTGAATGAAAGAATGGTTGGGCCAAAGGCCGATTTGACAAGAATGAAAGATAAATGGGCCAAAGGCCAGTATGACACGGACGAATTGGGCCCGAGGTCGTATGATGTGTCTGGAACCGCAGTCACTTGACCTATCCTTATATATATATATATGCTAAATAGAAATACGAATTGAGCCCAAGGCCGTTTGAAGCATGTTGTTCTAAATACCGCTTGTGTAACTTCTTTGTTTGATATTATTCAATGGGCTTTCGCTCACGCTCATTCATGTTTCTGTAGGTGAGCCAAGGGAGGTCCAAACCCAGCCTCAGTGAAGTTTGTGTGGAATAACCGAGGTTTTGCAGAGTCAGCCCTTACGTCTCACGCACGAGACTCGTCTTCGCCTTTTGCTATCTTGTGGTATTTTGTTATGTTAGCGAGGACTTTGGATACGTTTGTACATAGTTTTGATTGGCTGACTTAGACTTGAATGATCCCGTCTGTACAGAACTTTATGTTATTGTATCGTCTAATGTGAGTTATTAACATATATGTATGTATGGTTTGTTATGATGTGCCATATAAGCACAACTCTATGGACAAAGTTTTAAATTTTGCTTCCGTTTAACCCCTTTACTCTGATGAGTTATGTTTGATTTAGTTTGAGGTTGTAGGTAATCCCTTGATTACTGGCCGGTTATGTCCTTTACCCATGGAGGCGAGTTCGCGTCATGACAGAGTTGTATCACTATTTAATACAGAACATATAACATTTGTTCTTGATTTGAAGTGAAAAAAAATTATAGTTTGATTGATATTTTATTTTCCAATTTCTTTTTTTGTTTTTGGTCTATTTCAAAAAGAAAATATAGGGAGCCATTTGGGCGTTTTAGTAATTTACGTCTATAATAGTTATTGGGCCGGTTGGTTTTAACTTAGTTTCGATAGAACCTGAGTTATTGTTGTCGGCTGGTGACTCGACCCAACCCTGATTTGGCATGGGCCGCATAGCAAAATAACCCTTTGAAAAAATATAAAATAAAATAAAATAGTAATCACTGTCTACTGACAATGTGGGGTGATGCTAAATACACCCACATAATTCCTCTTATTCCTACATTAGTGAAACACAATTCTCAATACATAGAGAGGGAAAGTGGGTGTGTAGAGGAATTTTGTGGATGCATTTAATGGTATCTGAAATGTTGGGATATTTCTATTTACACCCACTTATGTGAGGGCATAATTTTGAATGCATACAAGAAAGAGGTGGGTGTACTGAAATATTTGGTGTGTAAATAGAAGAACCCCCACCCCAATTGTTGGTTCAAGTTCCATGTTTGTTCCCTAGTTGTTATAGGCAAAAAGGAAAAATACTAGTCACTATTTAATGAGTTTTAGTTAAGATCAGGACATGTGTAAAATGTATACTGCGGCCTCGTTTGGCATGTGTCATTTTTAGTCAAAAAGTCAAAAAGTTACTAAAAAAATTTAAAAGTCAATAACTCATACCAAAAAGTCAAAGATTCCATTTTCTCTCTATTTTTTGCACATATTTTCGTAAAAAGTCAAAAAGTCATCCCAAACATACTAGTTTTTTTTACATCATATTTTAGCCAAAAAATCAAAAAGTTACTAAAAAAGTCTGTTCCCAAACGAGGCCCGAAACTCATAAAAAGTATATAAAAATTTGTAAAATATATATTAAAATTATAAAACTTCGACATTATTTAAATTTTAGCTGACGTTTATTGGGCAATAATTAATAAAACAATATATATGTATCTCATGGTTCCTAACTGACACTAAACTTTGCAATCGCATTTGCACATGAACAAGGGGATGGAATAAAAGGATATAATTTTTATTCTCTAAAGATTGGATTTTTCATCTCTTCATTTTATTTAATTTTTGTGGGTGTACTTTATTTTTAATACTCATTCAATTAATACTATATATGATATTTTTTAGGAGTGGAAGAGAGAGAAATAGACATGGAGACACAAAAGATAGCGGTGAGAGGCTACGCCATAGAGGAAAAGAAGGTGCTCAAATCGATCAAGCGTGCAGGCAAAGCAGCCGAGCCATGGCCATACCCAAGAGGCTACTCTCATTTCACTTCATTTTACAAGTACCCTTCTTACGTTGTCAACCACTACTATCATGACACATTCAAAATTGTCTCTCCGGACAATATCCATAGTTTCTTCCACACTCCTGCAGTTTACTCGGTTGCAGTTGTATCAGATGAAGTTGTTGCTTCGCTTTTTAGTGATGAAAATCCTCATGCATGTACTATCATGTAATCTTGCAGTTTTTTTTTTTTTTTTTTAATTCCCTTATCTTGTGATGTATGTTTAGGTCATGTAATTTAGTTGTTTGTTAACTCTATATTTGCATTTTGTACGAGTTTTTTTGAAATTTTTCCCATCCATGAATTAATTCACAAGAAGCAGAGTTTGAGTTTTCGAGAGGATTCTTATTTTTATTTTTAAAGAGTCTATTTTCATAACTCTGAATACAAGCTTTTATTGCAACAAAAAATCCAAAATATAGTAACTTTAGCTACAAGGTCAACAACCTCATGCTCATGGCTAACTCTGGGTGAGGGAAGGGGAGGGGGATATAGAAGTGAAAAATAAAAAAAAAATAATGAGGGAGCATGGAGAAATGAAGAGAGAGAAAAAGGGGCAAAAGTGTCTTTAAAATCAAAGATTTTATAATTTTGTAATGGGTTCATATTAAAAATAAATAAATGATTATTGTCAAAATTATATTTGTTATTCATTATTTTGAAGACAAATATAATAAAATTAGCTAGTTACCAGTGTTAGATCAATGTTTTTTACATAAATCTATACATAGAAATTTAAAAATAAAGCATACGAACCTAATAAATTGAATTGGACAGTCCAATTTACATGGAGAGAAACTAGTACCTTTCAACAAATGTGAAATATGATACGTTCATTGGAAAGCACCAAACAATGGATTTTATAAGGTCAATTTTGATGGAGTTGTGTTCAATCGGCTCAAGACGGTTGGGGTTGGTATACTTATTTGTGATCACAATGGAGCAGTGCTTGCAGCCTTGTCATATAAGATTAATTGATGGGGGAGGAGAGTTGTGCTAAAGCTTTCGCAGCATTGCGAACAGTGATTTTCGCTTTTGAATTGGGTATCTATGATGTTTTATTTTGAAACACTGTTAAAGCTCTTCAAAGAGAGGAATCTTTGCTGTTCCATTACAAAAGCTTTTGAGAGGTGTCATATGATTTTCGCCTCAAACAGTTTATGGTTTAACTCAGATGGTTGCTAAAGCTTCCAAGCAATCTATTTAGATAGAAGAGATCCCACCGAATTGTAATCTTTTAGGTTTTTCGCATTCCAAAAAAAACAAAAAAACAAAACAATAATGATATTTATATGTTTTTTTTTTTTTTTTGATTCAAAAAAAGTTTAGGAGGAGGGGAGGCTACCCCATTCCAGGGTCAGGGAAAGCGTTACGCAATATTGCCCACCAACAAAGGACTGCCGGCAGCGGGACTCGAACCTAAGCCAAATGGGCGAAGGGAACAAGCCTTACCAACTGAACCAACCCTTGTTGACCATCATTTTAATGTTCAAACCCATCATTTTAATGTTGAAACCAAAAATTGGGTACTTTGGGGAAGTTGACCATTTTAGTGGTCATAATCAAAGCCCTTTCATGCTTTAATTATGCAGATTACTTTTTGGGTGAAATTATACATAGTACTTGTGGAGGGATAAAGTTTGTCCGTTACAAAACTTTACAACTTTTGAATAAACAGAATCTTTTAAAAAGTAAACCACCACCAACCCTTTTCTCCAGCTGATCACCCAGCCGACTTGATTACATATTCCGGATATGTTTGGTTTGTGTTTGTAGAGTAATTTTTAAGATAAAAAGTACGAAAACTTGTTTGGTTTATCTTTTTTTAGAAATGGTTTTAGAAAATTGTTTTGGGGAAAGAAGAAAGAGTTTTAAAAAAAGTGATTGATTTGATGTGTATGAGAGAGAGAGAGTGATTTTGGAAAGTAGGTAACCAAACAAAATTTTGAGAATTTTTTTTAGAAAAATTTGTTTGGTTTGATTACTCTTGAAAATTTGTTTATAGAGAATTTTTCCCAAAAATTTTTGTGAGAAACAAACCAAACAAGGCCATTTCACGTTTAATTTGAGCCTATTTATTATTACATTTAAAAATTTAGGTAGCGTTTGATTTTATTTTGAAATTATGATTCTAATTAAAAAAAAATTTAAATTTTTTTCAAAACTCATAAACAAACTCTTTTCAAAACTCTATTTTCAAAACCAAAAAAAAAAAATTCAAGAAAAAAAAATATTTTTTTATTTAGCTCTTTAAAATTATTTTTTATCGTTTATTCTTTTGGAAAAAATATTTTCTTCTATTTCTTTGAAAAAATATTTTGTTATTTTTTTAAATATTAGCCAAATAATTTGTTATGATTTATATATATATATATGGGCAATCCATAATTTTTTTAAATTTAAAAATAAATTTAAAAATATTTAAAATATTTAAAATAAAAAATAAGAAAATATTTAAAATAAAAATAATAAATTTTTATAATAAATTAAAAAAATACAACGCGCAAATTTAGTAAATACAGTGCACATTAAAATAAATAAATAAATAAATATTTACAATAAAAAATATTTACCCTAAAAAAATAAAATTAAGAAAATATTTAAATATTTAAAAAAAATAAATCCAAAACAATTTCAAAATACAACTCAAAACTCAAGCATTTTTTCAAAACTCATAGCCAAACAAGTTTTCTCTTTTTAAAAATTATTTTTCAAAACAAAACTCCACACTCCAACCATGATTCTTAAACTAAAGAATATATATAATTTATTTTTAGGAAAATTACAACCGAAAAAAAAAAAACTCTAGGGTTTTATTATTGTAACAAAAATAAACATTGAGTTTTTAATTTTGTCAAATTAAACTTTAATCTTTTGATTTGTTTTCAATATGAACCATTTGTCTTTTTTTGTTAATTAATTAACAAAAAAAATAATATTTTAGGGATTAATATCAATGTAAGTGTATATAAAATATTTAAAATATCATTTTTATTGATTTTAATGATTAAAATACTTTTTTTAAATCAATTTTACTTAACAAACATACGTAAATGGTTTATATTGAAAAAAAAAATCGAAAAAAAAATCATGATTTAAATTGATAAAATTAAAAATTCAGAGTTTATTTTGTTATAACACTCAAATTTTAGATTTTTTTTTTTTTTTGTAACCCCCTGAGATTTTCTGAAAATATAGATTGCCACCTATGGTTCTGGAAATTATATATTTTTCCCCTTCAAGTTTTTAATCATATAATAATTGACATCTTTTAATAATAAATCATCAAGTAATTAACAATTTTTAACGATGTCATAAATATATTTAATAATTTATGTAATTTTATTGTTGTATAGGAAAATAGTTAGGATTTTATTTTTATTTTTTTATTAATTTTGTTAAATAAAAAAATTATAAGAGCATATTTGTAATTTCTAAAATCACATAAAGTTATTCGTATTTTAAGTACACTTCATAGGATATATTTGTAATTTATCTATTTTTTCCTACATGGGTTGTGGCCAACAACGAGTCTCATTATAATAATTCTAACCATTCATTTTAAAAAGTCCTCGTTTTATATCATTTATATAAAAAATAACTCGATCGAATAATTACAACATTTTTATTTTATCGTGTTTGTTTTAAAAAAATGGACAAAAAAATATATTTTTAAAAATAGACTATTCATTTTTTTTAAGAGATAAACACAATACAATGAAAGGCTACTATTATCAAATTAACATAATTTTTCTCATAAATGATATATACGACTGATCTTACAAAATAAATTATTTAAATTATCAAAATGAGATATGTAATGGACTTTATAGGTCAAGCCCAACCCTATACAAAGTGAGGACATATAGTATTTCTCTAAAGCAAGATATTTTTTTAAAAATAGATAAATAATAAAGTACAGCCCCACCAATCTAGTTTGATACATAATAACAAATGAGTAATGATACATAATTCTAATTTGAGAGCTTCAAATGGAGCTTTAGTGAAGTGGAAGACAGAGATAGAGAGACGAATGTGGGCCCCACCTTCACATGGGTACTCTCTACCTCATTAAAGTTGCATTAGAGCTCTTAAACTAAAATTCTTAAATATTATTGATAACAAATCATGGTAATCTTGCTCTTTTGGACACTATCATAAATGTGTTTTGATTAGATTTTTGTATCATATATAGAATTAAATAATAGAATCAAGCCCCCAAAACAAAAACAAAAGCAAAAAAATCATAAAAAAGCTCTAAGAATGATTATGTCAACACTATTAAATCAAGGAGTTCTAACTTAATTGGCTAACCCTCTAGCCATCAAGTCTCTCTTCAAGGTATATAAATATGCGTTTCAAGGTTTGAACTAAATTTTTATCAATATTTGCTAATCATACAATTAACAACTAATTTTCACCAATTAAAAAAAAAAAACACTATTGAGCTCACTTCCTTTACAAAAACAAATCTAAGATTTTGAGCCTTATAAGAAAATACATTTTTAATTTTGTCTTGGAATTTTAAATTTTAAATTTTGAATTTTTGATTTATTTTTAGTTTAAATATATATTTTTTCTCATCAATTTTACTTAACATAAATAAATATATAATTTAGATTAAAAATAAATTAAAAGATTAAGATTTAAATTGATAAAATTAAAAATTTATTAAGACTCAAATCTTGAGGGTTTTATATATATATATATATATATAAAACTGTCCCTATACTTTATTATGGTAATTTAATTTTGTATATATAGAAAAATAAAATATACAAAATCTTACGCTATTCTCACTTGGGTGGGACGCACATTATTGAGTCTCATTAATAAATTTCACCTCTCACAAAAAGGTTGTGATTGAATTTTGTGCGTGTAAACAAATAAAAGGGGTACGTAGAACTTATATTAATTAATTAGTATATTAATTAATGTATTAATATATGGTATGACAATATTATTAATTCTAATTATTATATAAATTATATATACTAAATACTTTTTAAATTATGTCATATCATCAACTGGTACACTAATTGGTATCTTAATTAGTATGTATCAATTAATGTACTAACTAGTATACAAACAGATGATGTGACATAATTAATGATGTGACATTTATAATTTATATAATAGGTGGAGTCAGTAATAATGACATAACATTAGTTGATATACCAGTGTGTACATTAATTGGTTCATGTAACACCACTAGAGTTTAAATATAGATTTTAATTAGTGAATTTATTTTTCAATAGGTTTTATGATAATTAATGGCGTTTTTCATCAAATACTATTACAAAAGTGACTAATTGTTAATTTTCTGTGATAAGTTAAAAAATTTGTCACTAATTATAACTTTTAGTGACAGTTTAAAAAAAAATCGTTATAAAAAAATATCCCAATTTTTAATTTTAAGTGACAATTTAAAAAATTCATCACAAAAAAAAAAATTCACTAATTATTAGTTTTAGTGATAATTTATAGAAACTGTGACCAAAAAAAAGTCATTAATTATCAATTTTTAGTAACATATATAAAAAAATCATCACAATAAATTATTTTTAACAATAATTTTATAAAAATTTATTTTTAATAAAATTTAATGGAAATTAATAACTATTAGGACCGCGGAGTTTATCCCAAATAGAATAAAATAATTGACTATATATACAATAGATGCTGCCTAACCAAACCAAGGCCTCACATCTCACCTTTACAAAAACCCCAGAAGCATCTTCATTCATTTTTTGTTATTATTTACATTGCTATATAGGATGTTGAGAACCAATTTTCTATATTTTTCCCCTCATTTTTATTTATTTACTTTTTCTATTTCGAATTCAAATTGTTGCAGAAGCTCGTGTTGAAGGTGATGACCATGACCGATGAGAAGACAAAGAAGAAAGCTATAGAAGCCACTGCTGATTCTACGGTACTCATGATATAAATTTTTCCTTTTTTTATTTGATGATTTTTTTAATTATTTCTTCTAGGGGGTCTTATAACCATCAGATTTCGATCTTTTGATACCAACAACAAATCCGATATGTTAGTGGGATTGAAAATCGCATACTGTCAATAGAGCTGATTTGACTGCTATAAAAACTCTTTTTTAATAATTTTAAATTCATAACTGCGTCACTCGATTCTCAAAATGTATTGCTGAATATTATGATACCGTTACACCATGATTAATTAGGTATAATTGATGTTGATTTGTTTCTTATTTTGATGGGTATTGGTATTGAATTTTTGAACAACAGGAGTAGATTCGATAGCGGCGGATCTGAAGGAGCAGAAAATAACGATGATTGGAGAGATGGACACTGTGGCAGTGGTGAAGAAGATGAAGAAAGTTGGGAAGGTTGATATCATATCAGTTAGGGTGTTCGGGGATCGATTTTGTACGGTTTACGGTTCGGTTTTGATCCGCCCGTACCTCTGTGGTTTGGGAAAAAGTCAAACCGCAACCGCCCGCAGTGCGGTTTGCGGTTTGTGACGATAGAGTTTGCGGATGTGCGAGTAGTTGCGGGCGGTTTGCGGTTTGAATAATTTACATTACAAAAAAAAAAAAAATTTGATTGCATAAACAGATCTAATTACAAATTCAACATAATTAATAATTACAGATTCAACATAATTTAAATAATTACAAATTCAACGGATTGAATAACACATTGAATAACATATCTAATTACAAATTCAATAACATATCTAATAACATTTATAATTAATAATTAATAATTACAAATTCAACATAATTAATAATTGATAATTAATAACAGATTCAATCACATATCTCACAGATTGAATAACAGATTTAACACAGATTAACATAGATTTAACAAATAAACAAATAAAAAAAAACATCTGATTGCATACACATCTAAAAATTGCATAAAAACATCTAATTTAACACAGATTTAACACAAATTTAACAGATTTAACACAGATCTATTGCTTATACATCTGATTGCATAAAAAAAAAAAAAAAAAAAAAAAAAAAAAAAAAGAGACCGGGGAGATCAGACATAGACCAAACAGACAGATCTGAAGAGCAAAGCAGAGTCTTACCTATGAGTTGCAGAGCAGAGTCGATCTTGCGAAGCACGAGAGAGTGAGATTCGAAGTGAAGCTGGGCACAGAGTTGCGATGAGAAAGCAGAGATCGATCGGTGCAATGAGAAACCAGAGATCAATCGGTGCGATGAGAAACCAGAGGTCGATTGGTAATCGACGATGAGAAAGCAAAGTTGAAAGCAGAGTTGTGATCGGTGTAATGAAAAACGAGAGAGAGAGAGAGAGAGAGATTGATATGAGATAAGAGAAAATGAGCTCTCTCCAGCTACGCAAATGTAATGTGTTTGATTGTGAGAGATTAGGGGTTTTTTTTTACTTTTGTTTGTTATACTAAAGATGAAGATCAACGGTCCAGATTTTACATATAAAAATAATTATAAAAAAATCTGTTTAAGCGAGCGGGTTAGACGGGTTGGGTTCAAACCCACAACCCCGCCCGCAACCTGGAAGTCAGCCATAATCCAAACCACATCCAACTCTAACGTGTTTGCAAAACCGCCCAAAGGTCTGCGGGTCAGGTATGGTAGGGCAAGTTGGGCAGGTCGGATAATCTTATGCCTACCCCTAATATCAGTTGGTCCAACCAAAGAAGAGAAGAAAGAAGAAAAGAAAGAGGAAAAGAAAGAAGATGACAAAAAATAAAAAGCACTAAATTCCAAGTACTCACTATACAGGCCTTTCTTAATCGGAAAACTCTGTTCATAGAAAGGGGAAAAAAATTATATAAAATATTTTACAAAAATAATGTAATAATGTCATTTTTATAAATAAACTCATCATTATGAGTGTTTTATTTTAATTTGAGCCTTATCATTTTGTATGAATTTTCTATTTGTATATCATTACTTTTTTTCCTCCCGTGGCACCATTGCATTAAAATATTTTGAGAGGAAATCTTAAACGTAAATAAATAAAATTGAACAAAATAGTTGCCGTCCTTTTGTAATCTTCAAGGGAATATCCTGGAACTCTTTTTTTATTATTATTTTTTATTTTATTTCCTTTTCTAGTTAGGTATTTTCTATTTTAATACAATTTTAACTGCAATATAAGATATTAGCGTATGCCCGTGCCTAAAGGCACGGTATAAATAATATTAAGATTAAAATGTTGTTATAAAAATATATTGAAATATTTTTCTTCTTAAAGAACCTATAACAATTTTGGTTGTATTACATGCTCTACAAAATTCAAATAAAATAACAACTCCCCTAATCTTAATGCAAATTAATAAACACATATCAGATTTATAATGTTCACTACTATTACAAATCAAAATATAAGAGCAAGTAAAAAGAAATTATAAACACTGAACAAAAAACATAAAATAAAGTTATTGTATACTAAATCTATAATAAAATGAAAAAAAATACTAATCTATATAATAAAGCACATTAGTAATGGATACAATCTTGTTAAACACAGAAGTTTTACAATCTTGGAATAGCTTGGAATAGTTTTTCTTCTCTTGCTTAGACCACCCCAGCTTTAAAGGCACGATGTAAATAATATTAAGATTACAATGTTGTTATAAAAATATATTGAAATATTTTTCTTCTTAAAGAACTTGTAACAATTTTGGTTGTATTACATGCTCTACAAAATTCAAATAAAATAACAACTCCCCTAATCTTAATGCAAATTAATAAACACATATCAGATTTATAATGTTCACTAATATTACAAATCAAAATATAAGAGCAAGTAAAAAGAAATTATAAACACTGAACAAAAAACATAAAATAAAGTTATTGTATACTAAATCTATAATAAAAAGAAAAAAAAAATACTAATCTATATAATAAGGCACATTAGTAATGGATACAATCTTGTTAAACACAGAAGTTTTACAATCTTGGAACAGCTTGGAATAGCTTTTCTTCTCTTGCTTAGACCACCCCAGCTAGCTGACCTCTTTAAAAAGCTGCTTGGATTGCCAGAGCAGCAATGAAAGTTGGTCTCTGAATTGAAGTTGTTTCTCAGATACCCTTTCTCAAACAGGTAGAGCTCAAGGATGAAAGGCTCTTGTTGCTCTTGGAGAAGCTCTCCAAGTTGTTTGGGCATGGAGGAAGCCATCGGAGTTGTGAAGCCAAATGGGTTGAGAGAGAGGGTATGAGAATCAAGACGTCGCAAAAAATAAAAAGAGACAATGTTAACCAACCTCTGTTTGGCAACAACTAAATAAGTTATATATATAGATTTTTTTTATCTTTAATGAATTTTTTTCAAATTTGTGTCATCTTTTTTTTTTAATCTTTAAAAAAAAACTTTTTTCTCTTATTTGGAAGGATCTAAAAGGTAGAAAAAATTTAATTTTTTTTAAAAAAATCTTCAATAAAGACAAAAAAAAGCCAAAAAAATGGACTTAAAAAAAAATGCAGGTTTATCTAGCCTAGTAAAACTTAAAAGAAAAAGTTTTTGAAAAAAAAAATTAAGTAAAAATGAAAAAAAGTACTAAAGCAACTGTCATACCAAACTGAAAGAGTTAACGCATGAATTTATTATATTTTGTGATTTCTCATTTATGAATATGAACAATAACACATGAGATTCTGGGATTAGTTGAAGAACATATGATGAGTTGCAGTTACAGTAGTTGCAGATGTATTAATTGATTAGGGGCAGACAAAGCATATCTGTCAGTTTGGGGACTGAACAAAGAGTAGAGAAACCAGAGAGAAGATTGGGGAGATTTAAATGAGGGTGGAGAAGAGTTGAAGAAAGAAATATAGATTTCACGGGAGGGGATGCATCCATTGATATTCACCCAACCTTGAAATAGAAAAAAAAAAGAGTGTTAGGGTAAGGACAAAATGGTGATTGGAACAAAACATTGAAATAGAAAAATAAGAATATCAAGGAATTGTTTTGAATTGCGGCACTACAATCAAAGTTTTGGTAAAATTCCAAACCAATATCAAGGACTCACATCAAACAACAAATTCATACAATTCAAACAACTCAACACAGTGATGAAGAGCAGAGAAAGGGAGCGAGTTCGAAGACTTACCTTGCGAGTGCGAGTTTGAAGGGAGCCGAAGGAAAAACAGCGTCGTTTGAATTGCAGCAAGAGAAATTGTCCCTGTATTCTAGTCAGTAAATTTTCTATCAGCGTCATAATTTTAATTTCGGACAGAATTCTTCATTTAGTAAATGATAATGTAATAGAGATAGAAAGAGAGGGGGAAAAGAAAACTTTAAAATATAGATTTCACGGGAGGGGATGCATCCATTGATATTCACCCAACCTTGAAATAGAAAAAAAAAAGAGTGTTAGGGTAAGGACAAAATGGTGATTGGAACAAAACATTGAAATAGAAAAATAAGAATATCAAGGAATTGTTTTGAATTGCAACACTACAATCAGAGTTTTACTAATATTCCAAACCAATATCAAGGACTCACATTAAACAGAATTCAAACAACAAATTCAAACAATTCAAACAACTCAACACAGTGATGAAGAGCATAGAAAGGGAGCGAGTTCGAAGTCTTACCTTGTGAGTGCGAGTTTGAAGGGAGCCGAAGGAAAAACAGCGTCGTTTGAATTGCAGCAGGGGAAATTGTCCCTGTATTCCAGCCAGTAAATTTTCTATCAGCGCTGTAATTTTAATTTCGGACAGAATTCTTCATTTAGTAAATGATAATGTAATAGAGGTAGAAAGAGGAGGGGAAAAGAAAACTTTAAAATATAAATTTCACGGGAAGGGATGCTCTCAAAGCCCAAACATGAAATGAGATCAGTCCCACTTCCTGCTGGTATAAATTAGTTACTGTAACATTAAAAGAACAATAATAATAACACACCAAACCATAAAATTAAAATCTGAAACAACAAAAGTTGAGAGAGAAAGAAGGAGATGAGTGAAACAACAAAATTTGAGAGAAATAACTTACCAGAGTGATCTCTGATGGGGGGAGAAAAAGGAAACAACAAAAGCTGAGAGAGAATGGAAACTAAATGACAAATAATAACAGTATGGAGAATGGAAACACCTTTAATAAGAGCCAAAAAGAAATAGAGAAAGGGAGAGAAAGGTAAGAATTTCCACTCTGTTTATTCTCTCTTTGCTGAATGGTTTTTATGGACAAATGAGAAGGCTCCAAAAGGTCATTTGTTTCAAGAAATTAAAAACCTGCAATGCTCCCATGCCTGCATTTCCAAGAGTCCACATGGATGGCGCTGCTGCTAATGCATTAGCTAATGCTTTTCTGCACATAGAGAAGAACCAAAATATAAAAAAATTCAAAACAATCATATCAAAATTCAAAAAAGAAAAAGAACCTGAAGTGGAAAAAAAATTAATAAAATCAAAATTTAGTGAGAAAGCTAGAACTTGACACTGGAATTTCAAGGGCCTCAGTGTCAGATTCTTTCATCATATTATGCACCCACAACTTTCCTTCATTTACTGTGGCAACTATTAATGTGATGTTGTAGTAAATTATGCAATGGAAATAACGAAAAGAATGCTATGGCAGAATGATGCAGTCCCTGGTAAGAAAGAAACTACCTGCCAAGATTTTTTTGGGTGAATAACTACCTGCCAAGATGGTTATGCTCAATACACGGATAATACTGAATTTCCATGTAGACTATTGGAAATGCAAGCATCAAGAACTTCAAGTTAATTTCTACTGAAATGAAAATGCTTATGAGAATGTAAGTTGAAGAGTTTTCTTTGCCTTTTCTTTGCTTTTTGTTTTTTGTTTTAAGAGTTTTGGTGGTCATAGGTTATGTTAAAGGAATATTTATTTATTTATTTTTCTTTTGAAAGAGTAGGGAGTGAATACACCAATTTATAGAAAATTCAAAAAATTATGAACTGCCCTTGAACAAACATTTTTTCTTTTCAAAGAGTAGGGTATAGAAAATTCAGAAAATTTATATAAACATTCAACTAAGAAGTCAAAGCATTGAAATTTACAGAAACATTCAGCAAAACATTGGGATTAATCTTCTA